TAAACCCTCATATCCCTGGCTAACGTTGGCCACCAGTACTTAGTGCTAAGGCAGTGAACTGTCCGGCCGATACCTGGATGTCCAGAGGAGGGGGACGTATGAGCCCAATAAATGAGGCGATCGCGTACCTCGAGCGGAACGTACGTCCGACCCACTGGACACTGTGGAGGACTTGGGTCGGTGCGTAACGCCCTGCTCGATCTCTGCATCGACCTCCCATACCACCGGTGCCACCAGACAAGACTTTGGTAGTATGGGAGTGGGCTCAACGGACCTCTCCTCCGTGTCATACCGCCGAGACAGGGCATCTGCCTTCCCGTTCTGGGACCCAGGGATGTAAGTGATTTTAAACACAAACCGGGCTAGAAACATAGTCCAGCGGGCCTGGCGAGGATTCAGTCTCCTAGCTGCCCGGATGTACTCCAGGTTACGGTGGTCCGTCAAAATGAGGAAAGGGTGTTGAGCCCCCTCAAGCCAATGCCTCCACACCTTTAGGGCCTGTAGCACGGCTAACAGCTCCCTGTCCCCTACGTCATAATTCCGCTCCGCCGGACTGAGCTTCTTAGAATAAAAGGCACAGGGGCGGAGCTTAGGTGGTGTGCCAGACCGTTGTGAGAGGACGGCCCCAATACCGGCCTCGGACGCGTCTACCTCTACCTGGAATGGTAAAGCGGGATCCGGATGCGCCAACACCGGCGCCGAGGTAAACAGGTCCTTCAGTCTCCCAAAAGCCCTGTCCGCCTCAGCTGACCACCGCAAGCGCACCGGACCCCCCTTCAACAGAGACGTTATGGGAGCTGCCACCTGTCCAAAACCCCGGATAAACCTCCGGTAATAATTCGCAAAACCCAAGAACTGTTGCACCTCTTTCACAGTGGTTGGGGTTTGCCAATTACGCACCGCTGACACCCGGTCAACCTCCATCTTCACCCCTGACGCAGACAACTGATAACCCAAAAAGGAGACCGACTTCTGAAAGAACAGACATTTCTCTGCCTTGACATATAGGTCATGCTCCAACAGTCTCCTCAACACTCGGCGCACCAGGGCTACATGCTCAGCTCGGGTAGAACTGTACACCAGAATATCGTCTATGTACACGACTACTCCCTGCCCCTGCATGTCCCGGAAAATCTCATCTACAAAGGATTGGAAGACTGAGGGAGCATTCATTAACCCATATGGCATGACGAGATACTCGTAATGACCGGAGGTCGTGCTAAATGCTGTCTTCCATTCATCGCCCTCTCTAATGCGCACCAAGTTATATGCGCTCCTGAGATCCAATTTTGTGAAGAACTGAGCACCGTGTAATGACTCCGTCATAGTCGCAATCAGAGGAAGCGGATAACTGTACTTCACCGTAATCTGATTGAGACCGCGGTAATCAATACACGGGCGCAAACCTCCATCTTTTTTCTTCACAAAAAAGAAGCTCGAGGAAGCGGGTGAAGTGGAGGCCCGTATGTATCCCTGTCTCAGAGACTCGGCGATGTAAGTTTCCATCGCCTTCCTCTCCTCTTGAGACAAGGGATACACATGGCTCCGCGGGAGTGCTGCTCCTAACTGGAGATCTATCGCACAATCCCCCCGTCTATGAGGCGGCAGCTGCGCCGCCCTAGTCTTACTAAACACCAGTGTCAAATACTCATACTCGGGGGGAATATGCAGTGCGGGCATTTGATTTGGACTCTCCACCGAGGTCGCCCCTATGGAAACACCCAGACATAGCCCCTCACACTGAACAGACCACCCTTTAAGAGCTTTCTCTCGCCACGAAATAGTAGGATCATGGGTAATCAACCAGGGAAGTCCCAGCACCACCGGATACGCAGGAGAGTCAATCAGATAGAGCTGAATCGTCTCCTCATGACCCCCCTGCGTCTTCATCCTAAGGGGCGCTGTGACCTCCCTAATTAACCCAGATCCTAACGGACGGCTATCTAGGGCATGTACAGGGAAAGGCTTATCAACGGGAAGGAGAGGAATCCCTAACTCTACACAGAACTGGCGATCTACAAAATTCCCAGCTGCGCCTGAATCTACTAGCGCCTTATGCTGGGAACGAGGTGCAACCTGTGGGAAACAAACAGGCAAGGTTATGTGAACGACAGAAAGCTCTGGGTAAGTAGGGCGCCTACTCACCTGGGAGGACTCCCCAATGCGTGGCCTGCCTTCACCTCCACCGGGGGACCTTCCCCAACACCTAGCCACGGTGTGCCCTCCACGGCCACAGTTGGTGCAGGGAACGGCCCCCCTCGGGTTCCTACTCCTCCGTTCTCTAGCGCCAGCACCTCCGAGCTCCATAGGGCTCGGCTCGGAGGTGCCGGAAGGTGGAATGGGCAACCCCCACCCGGGACGTCCACGGGTGGCGAGCAGGGTGTCCAGCCGAATGGCCATGTCGACCAGTTGGTCAAACGACAACGTGGTATCCCTGCACGCCAACTCTCTCTGGACGTCCTCCCGGAGGCTGCAGCGGAAGTGGTCTATGAGGGCCCGCTCATTCTACCCTGCATCTGCCGCTAGAGTCCGGAACTCCAAAGCAAAATCCTGTGCGCTCCTCATCCCCTGTCGGAGGTAGAACAGACGCTCCCCCGCCGCCTTCCCTTCTGGTGGATGGTCAAACACGGCACGGAAGCGGCGGGAGAACTCCGCATAGGTAATAGTAGCGGCGTCTATTCTCCTCCATTCGGCGTTGGCCCACTCCAACGCCTTGCCGGTGAGACAGGAGATGAGGGCGGAGACGCTCTCGTGTCCCGAGGGCGCCGGGTGTACGGTGGCGAGGTAGAGCTCCACTTGCAGCAGGAACCCTTGACACCCGGCAGCGGAGCCGTCGTACGCCCTTGGGAGCGAGAGCCGAATCCCACTGGGTTCCGGAAGGGGGACAGGAGGACTGACCGATGGGGATGGTCCGGTAGGTGGGGCGTGGGTACCCCGCTGCTTTTCATCGGTGGAGAGTGTTCAACACCCGATCCAGGGCGTGACCGATCTGGTTGATCCTGTCCTCCTGCCCACGAAGACGGTCCTCCATGATGTCCGTTGGCGCGGTTGCTCCTGCTGATTCCATGGGTTGATGTGTGATTCTGTCAGTAGCTGAGTGTAGATGCGGTGTGGAAATCAAGCGCAGGAAACACGGGCGTTCGTGAACAGACTTTAGTAAACGAAAGCAGCACCAAACAGGCGAACAGCCAACCCAACCGGGAGGCAAAATACAAATTACGCACAATAAACACAGTGCGTAAAACGACGATAACGCACACAGTGCGGACTCTCGAAAAACAACAAAACACGAGAGTAAATACAGAGAGCAACAGCTAGACAAAAAACAATCACACATAACACCTGACCCAACACACGATAACTAAATAGGAAACAAAATCAAACACTAACAAGGGACAGGTGTACAAACAGACAAAACCAAACAAACATGAAACATCGAACGGTGGCAGCTAGTACTCCGGGGACGACGACCGCCGAAGCCTGCCCGAACAAGGAGGAGGAGCAGCCTCGGCCGAAACCGTGACAGCTAGGTTGTAGAAACCTCATGATGGGTATAGGGAACATGTTAGTATCATGTAGTAGCCTAAACCTATTGATGTTACATTGAGCTGGATAAATGGAATGTGAATGACAGTCATCCAATATGGTGTAATAGGAATATGGCCATCTTCATGAAAAAAATTATCGTCCTCCTCATCTTAAACGTCACCGACCGCCACTGGGGCATATGGTTATTAAAGACATTACCCTCGGAGCTAACATTTAAAGGAACATAAATTAGGTTACTTACATTCACTGCAGTTCTATTTCTTTGGGATACAATATGATTTCCATGTCCTATGTTGCTTATTTTGACAGGGAGGACTGTTGCACTACTGGGGGCCGAAACTGTGGACATATTTAATAGAGATCTTAAAACACATCTTTTTAGCTTTGCCTTTCCTTAAGGTGCTTTTATAGTCATTCAGTTTTTGTCATTCTTTTGTTTTTTATCTTATGTTTGTTGTGTAGTAAATATTTAAGTTTTTATATTCATTGTTTTTTTGTTTTGTTTTCTGTGAAGCACATTGCGTTGCATTCCATGTCTGATATGCGCTGTATAAATAAAGCTTGATTTGATTAGAAACCCAGACCATCAGTCTCTTAAGCAGTTCGCTATGTTGACGGAGGTAATCCTGGAAACCCTGTGGTTAGTTCCCTGTGTCTCTAAGTGGACTGGAATAGGTCTACAAGTACAGTAAACTAACTAACTTAGTCATTTTTGTCTCTGTAGGGACACAATGCGACTGGAGTCTGTCTTTGGCCACAGTTTGCAAGTTCAGTAGAAGTCATCCCTAAATACTGATACAGGCTCAGATATTTGAATTTCTTTCATCCCCCTAATGGTTAAGGTTAGTATGAGGGTTAGATCCTATTTCTTTTGATTCTATAGATCTGTTAAGAGCAGCTCCCTACCTAAAGAGACTGAAGTACTTGACATGACTTTGACATTAAGGTTCCAGAGTGAGTGAAACAGTATCACTGCATAGTCGGATGCCAGAGTGTCACAAATCTAATTTGGCCAGTCAACAGTCGAAGTGCCCTCCATAGTATGCCTTGAGTTCATTTGAATGTATAGCCTAAAGGATTATATAGGATAAGCCTATAGGACCCTGAGATCCTTCAGGATAAGCTCATGTTGCTAGAAGTGACTTTTACCAAAACCCCACCCCCACATATTTTCACCTGGTCCCAACAAATATGTTCATGTTGCATTTTCACCTGGTCCAAAGTAGCAGAGGTAGAGTAAAAACATATATGATCATCTCTATCCTTTATCTGGATCCAGGATACCGGCTTGTTACAAAGTTTATTTCAATACTTGCCATTCGGTATGGTTATTCTCCGGTTTACCAATCTAAGTGATTGCCGTTCGGGTTGTATGAGTTAGACACAGCCAGACTGCATATCAGTTTTGATTGATCGCCTGTCCTCCCTTTCTCCCTTCTCTCTTCTCAGGGAAGAGCAAAAAGCGAGACCAGTGTAAGAACAACCAGGTGTACCCCCTCAGCGAGATCCAGTACTGCCCCTGTAATAAGTACAACGCCCAGCCCGTGGGGAACTGGTCGGACTGCATCCTGCCTGAGGGTGGGCGTGTGGAGGGCCAACTGGGCATGAAGGTCCAGGGGGACATCAAGGAGTGTGGCCAGGGCTACCGCTACCAGGCCATGGTGTGTTACGACCAGGACAACAGACTGGTGGAGACGTCACGGTGCAACAGCCACGGTGAGTCTTACAGGCCTCTCACCAACATCCTATTATTGTTCATGTCTATAAGCAGGAAGTTACCTGCTATGTATGATGATGTTATGTTGGTTAGTCTACCTTTGTCATGGTGCAACAGCCACGGTGAGTCACACAGAGTGTATGAAACATCCAGTGTCCCTCTTCCATCTCTCATCAACTCCCTCGAAGCTGTATGCATTAAACCTAGCCACTGTGATTCATACAGGGTGACTGTATTTCCAATTAAAGGCATGCTCAGTGATATGACATCATCATGCACATTGGGCCACTTCCTGTTACAGAAAACAGAAAACGAGTGTGGAGAAATGCAAGATAAGGCAATTGATTTTGGTCTTTGGAATTCTCATCAATTTGTTTCAGCCCCTTATTGAATACATTTCCAGAATGTTGTTCCTTGTTCTCTCCATCAAGATAATATTTATTCCACCATTTACATATGTGTTCTATTGATTCGGCTCCATTCGAACCATTTTGATGACAGACTGAGAGTGCAGAGCAAACGTTCATCTCACTGTGTCCTTTTCAGCATCCACTGATTGTAAATTCACTCGCAGTATGGGAACTGTGGTGTGGTTGATGGTGTAGAACTGTTACGTGATGAGATGTCACTAGCAATTGTTATACACTAGCTACTGCTGTTATATGTCCACCTCTCTAACACCACTGCCCAAGTGCCCTACAGTCGTGGTCAAAAGTTTTGAGAATGACACAAGTATTGGTCTTCACAAAGTTCGCTGCTTCAGTGTTATGAGATATTTTTGTCAGATGTTACTATGGTATACTGAAGTATAATTACAAGCATTCCATAAGTGTCAAAGGCTTTTATTGACAATTACATTAAGTTTATGCAAAGAGTCAATATTTGCAGTGTTGACCCTTCTTTTTCAAGACCTCTGCAATCTGCCCTCGCATGCTGTCAATTAGCTTCTGGGCCACATCCTGACTGATGGCAGCACATTCTTGCATAATCAATGCTTGGAGTTTGTGGGTTTTTGTTTGTCCACCCGCCTCTTGAGGATCGACCGCAAGTTCTCAATGGGATTAAGGTCTGGGGAGTTTCCTGGCCATGGACCCAAAATTTCGATTTCTTGTTCCCTGAGCCACTTAGTTATCACTTTTGCCTTATGGCAATGTGCTCCATCATGCTGGAAAAGGCATTTTTCGTCACCAAACTGTTCTTGGATGGTTGGGAAAAGTTGCTCTCGGAGGATGTGTTGGTACCATTCTTTATTCATGGCTGTGTTCTTAGGCAAAATTGTGAGTGAACCCACTCCCTTGGCTGAGAAGCAACCCCACACATGAATGGTCTCAGGATGCTTTACTGTTGGCATGACACAGGACTGATGGTAGCGCTCACCTTGTCTTCTCCGGACAAGGTGTTTTCCGGATGCCCCAAACAATCGGAAAGGGGATTCATCAGAGAAAATGACTTTACCCCAGTCCTCAGCAGTCCAATCCCTGTACCTTTTGCAGAATATCAGTCTGTCCCTGATGTTTTTCCTGGAGAGAAGTGGCTTCTTTGCTGCTCTTCTTGACACCAGGTCATCCTCCAAAATTCTTCACCTCACTGTGCGTGCAGATGCACTCACACCTGCCTGCTGCCATTCCTGAGCAAGCTCTGCATTGGTGGTGCCCCGATCCCGCAGCTGAATCAACTTTAGGAGATGGTCCTGGCGCTTGCTGGACTTTCTTGGGTGCTCTGAAGCCTTCTTCACAACAATTGAACCTCTCTCCTTGAAGTTCTTGATGATCCGATAAGTGGTTGATTTAGGTGCAATCTTACTAGCAGCAATATCCTTGCCTGTGAAGCCCTTTTTGTGCAAAGCAATGACGACGGCACGTGTTTCCTTGCAGGTAACCATGGTTAACAGAGGAAGAAAAATGATTTCAAGCACCACCCTCCTTTTAAAGCTTCCAGTCTGTTATTCTAACTCAATCAGCATGACAGAGTGATCTCCAGCCTTGTCCTCGTCAACACTCTCACCTGTGATAACGAGAGAATCACTGACATGATGTCAGCTGGTCCTTTTGTGGCAGGGCTGAAATGCAGTGGAAATGTTTTTGGGGGATTAAGTTCATTTTCATGGCAAAGAGGGACTTTGCAATTAATTGCAATTCATCTGATCACTCTTCATGACATTCTGGAGTATATGCAAATTGCCATCATCAAAACTGAGGCAGCAGACTTTGTGAAAATTAGTATTTGTGTCATTCTCAAAACGTTTGACCACGACTGTATACATCACACTATGTAGGATTAGGGTGGCATTTTAAAAAGCTTAAGCAACCATAGGAGATCAGTGATAGTGCATTGGCTATACTGTACAGGAGTTACTGGTATTGTAGCTCTATTGCTCCAACACCACAATCAACCTACCTGATTGGCTCCCACACGTGCTATGGATTAAATTATGTTATTGGATTTTTTATTATAATTTAATGTATTATTACTATAATTATTATACTTTTTTAAATACATTATATTAAAATAAATACAAATGAAAGGAATAAATTACAATAAAATGAATTAAAATACATTAAAGGTATATGGTTACCTATACACCTTTCAAACCAATATGTTTTTCGGCCAACTTTAGCATCCCCGCAAATTTTTTATGCCGTTTTTTATATCTGAAAGGTGTTGCCGATATCAAAACCTAAACTTCCGCAAACCGACCTAGTCGTGATTGCAGTAAAGTTCTGCCCACGGCTGTCAAGTTCGTCGTAGAGAGTAGACCAATGCGCAGCGTTAGTTGCGAACATACTTAACTTTATTATCTTTAGTGATAATATAACAACAACACAATAAACGAAACGTGCAGTCCTACGGTTAACACAGAAACAAACCAAACGGAAACAAGATCCCACAAACACTAAGGGAAACAGACTGTTTAAATATGGCTCCCAATCAGAGACAACCAGCCACAGCTGACATTCGTTGCCTCTGATTGGGAGCCCCTCTGGCCAACATAGAAATACAACAACTAGAACTTGAACATAGAACAAAACACATAGAAACTACACACCCTGGCTCAACATATAGAGTCCCCAGAGCCAGGGTGTGACAGTACCCCCCCCCCAAAGGCGCGGACTGCGACCGCGCCTCAACAAAACCCAAACAGGGGAGGGCTGGGTGGGCATTCCTCCTCGGAGGCGGTTCCGGCTCCGGGCTTGACCACCACCCTTCAATAATCCCCCCGTAGCGCCCCTGGTCCGGTCTGGCCCCGCTGGCTGGAGCTGGACTGGACATCGAAGGAGCGGATTGCTTAAGCTCCGTTGTGGAGCAGCTGACCAGTACCTGATCAGGCACCGGTGACCCAGGCACGGGTTGTGCCGGACTGACGACGCGCACCCCTGGCTTGGTGCGTGGAGCAGGAACGGACCGGACCGGGCTGACGATGCGCACCCCTGGCTTGGTGCGTGGAGCAGCAACGGGCCGGACCGGGCTGACGATACGCACCCCTGGCTTGGTGCGTGAAGCAGGAACGGGCCGTACCGGGCTGACGACTCGCACCCCTGGCTTGGTGCGAGTGGCAGGAACAGGCCGGGCCGGGCTGGCGACGCGCACCGTAGGCTTGGTGCGAGGAGCAGGAACAGGCCGGGCTGGGCTGGCGACGCGCACCGCAGGCTTGGTGCGAGTGGCAGGAACAGGCCGGGCCGGGCTGGCGACGCACACCGTAGGCTTGGTGCGAGGGGCAGGAACAGGCCGGGCCGGGCTGGCGATGCACACCGTAGGCTTGGTGCAAGTGGCAGGAACAGGCCGGGCCGGGCTGGCGACGCGCACCGTACACTTGGTGCGAGGAGCAGGAACAGGCCGGGCCGGGCTGGCGACGCGCACCGTACACTTGGTGCGAGGAGCAGGAACAGGCTGGGCCGGGCTGGCGACGCGCACCGTACACTTGGTGCGAGGAGCAGGAACAGGCTGGGCCGGGCTGGCGACGCGCACCGTACACTTGGTGCGAGGGGCAGGAACAGGCCGGGCCGGGCTGGCGACACGCACCGTACACTTGGTGCGAGGAGCAGGAACAGTTCGGGCCGGGCTGGCCACGCGCACCGTACACTTGGTGCGAGTGGCAGGAACAGGCCGGACCGTACTGAGAACACACACCACTGGCCTTAAACGGGGATCAGGAACGGGCCGGACCGGACTGGCAATACACCTCAGTACCTCTCGCCGCGCCTCTACATCTTCCTTCCCTCTTCTCACCAATGGCTCCCGTAACCTGGTGGCCTTCTGAATTCGCCCCTTATCTGCCTCCAGCAGCCCCGTCGTCCATGCCATGTGCCCCCCCCTAAAAATTTTTGGGGGTTGCCTCTCGTCCGTCCGACGACGACACTGTTGACGCCGTTGCTCCTCTCTCCGTCGCGCCTCTACCGTCTCACTCCATGGACGGCGATCCATCCCGGCCTGGATTTCCTCCCAGGTCCAGGACCCCTGCCCGTCCAATATTTGCTCCCACGTCCAGGCTGCCTGCTCCTGGACACGCTGCTTGGTCCTGGTATGGTGGGATCTTCTGTCAAGTTCGTCGTAGAGAGTAGACCAATGCGCAGCGTTAGTTGCGAACATACTTAACTTTATTATCTTTAGTGATAATATAACAACAACACAATAAACGAAACGTGCAGTCCTACGGTTAACACAGAAACAAACCAAATGGAAACAAGATCCCACAAACACTAAGGGAAACAGACTGTTTAAATATGGCTCCCAATCAGAGACAACCAGCCACAGCTGACACTCGTTGCCTCTGATTGGGAGCCCCTCTGGCCAACATAGAAATACAACAACTAGAACTTGAACATAGAACAAAACACATAGAAACTACACACCCTGGCTCAACATATAGAGTCCCCAGAGCCAGGGTGTGACAACGGCTTAGTATGAAATGTAGCAGTAATGCTGAGGCGGCATTGGCACGCACTACGCTCTTAAACTATTGATGGTTGCTAGGCAGTGCCCCTTACTACTATCCTCCTGACTGTTCTAAACTTTGCAAGGCACATCACTTCGCTCATCTCTTCCCTGTAGCCCACCAACAACATGCACTGCTTTCTTAACCACAACTGAGATGGATCCATAAATAATTACTGTGGGAATAAATATCACTGAATGACGAAAATATTAGAATAAAGTAAACTAATGCAACTGAAGCATGGGAACTCTTGATAAATCAATCAATGTCAGATTTTTCTCTGTTTGGATATTGGTTAAGCAACAATTAGGCTGTGGAAATGTTAGCTAAGCTGAGGTGAGTGCTGCTCAGGATCATCTTGTCTAGTTGGCTCATTTATTAGCACTGATCAGAACATTTTGCCAGCATGTAATGTAGTTTAACAAGTGGATTATTTAGCTCATCACTCTGTCGCTTAGTAGCCTCGGCCTACTTCTGACCAAAAGCCTGGGACTTGTCTTAACCAATCAATGGGATTTTGTATCACTGAATCTCCATCTGTATATTTGGTTAATTTCCTGGCTGGGCAAATAAGTGGAGGTGGTATAGCTCATCTATTTATTTGCTCATCTATCACCTGATCAAGTGTAGTCCTATTATTTTGCTCGATCGCGTATAGGCAACTTCAAAAGCCCGTAGAGGTTGTGAAATATGAACACGATACTTTTATTTTCTATCGGTATCATGATGAGGATACTCTCAATGTAAGAGATGAAGCATTGATCAGAAAAGCATGTGCTTGCCTTGGGCTCTGTTTAAAAATAAAACTTTTTTTATATGACAGCGGTTCTACACGCTGCTGTGATGCAAGTTGTGTGCCAAAAACATTATTAGTATTTTATTCTGTCATATTTAGATTCTTAGCATACTATAAAGCCTACTATCAAATATATGTGTTGACTGTGATCATTGTAGTCTAAGTGTGTCTTGTCTGTTTAATGAACAAAACAATCACTGATTTCATGTGCACGGCGCAGCCATGTAGCCTATAGACTGCACAGACAAGTAACATAATTAAACTCAAAATATGCCATTCTATTCTTTTGAAATTAGATTTTATTAGTATTATAATGTTTTTTAGGACCTGCCTAAAACCAATTAATAATGGATTTCATTGTGATGGTGTATATTCAATGGATTAATTAAAATAGACGTCCACCCGCATCGGCCCACTCTATTCCCACTCCTAAACTTGCCGTCATGTGCACGGGAGATATAAAAGGCTTATCCCAGCAAGAATGTGGTAAATGGGACTGTATGGTTGCCTGAATGTTTTTACATACAACATACCGTAAAGTCTGTACACAGATGGGTACTATAGTGACAATTGAATTCCCTGCTTTAAAGCAGTCTAATAGTAGCTTCTCTGCTACAGTATTCTGTTGGAAAAAAATATGCTGTATAGAACCAAAAGGGTTCAATAGCTTGTTTCATATATGGCCCTCAAAATGGCTCTAAATAGAACCCTAAAAATATTGAAATAAATCTGCAGTGTATCTGTAGTAGCATTACTGTATCTGAAGAGGGTATGTAGCCTACATGGGTCAGTTCCTCAAGAATTGGACCATCTTGATTTGTCTTTTCATTTTGGTTCACTAGTTGTTTCCAAATTGTTATGTTTTTGGGAATGGTAACCAGGTGACCTCCTTAAAATGTAGAGGAATTCTAAATATATAACCAAACAAAGCCCAAATATAATGAGATTAAGGGGTAATCAATTTGGGCAACAGAAAATCCCCCTCTAATACATTTCCCTCTAATAATGACACTGTGTTTGTTCATCTGATCTCATCTTACTTCAGCATGTTCAGAATCATACATTTACTAGATGTAAAAAAATCTAAGAAATAATAATTCAAACTTGAACTTTAAAATTCCTCATTCGTAATATGTTCATGCATTTTCCACAACTGTGGCTCCTCACAGGTTCCTGTGTTGTGAACTAGCTCCAGTAGCAGTAGCAGTAACACTGGAACAGCTAAGAGCAATGACCTCCCTGCTCTTTCAGTGGACAAATGAGGCTCAGTAATCCACCCTCGCCCAGATAAACAGAAATAACAAGCCGAGAGAGAGGCACTCCTGCCAAAAACCAAAAAGCATGACCTCTCTCTCTCTCTCTCTCTCTCTTGCTCTCTCTTTGTGTCTCTGTGTGTCTCTGTCTCTCTCTCTCTCTCCCTTTCTCTCTCTTTCTATTGCTCTCTCTTGCTCTCACCATTCTCTCTGTCTCTTTGCCTCTCTCTCTCTCTCTCTCTCTCACTCTCTCTCTCTCTCTCTCTCTCTCTCTCTCTCTCTCTCTCTCTCTCTCTCTCTCTCTCTCTCTCTCTCTCTCTCTCTCTCTCTCTCTCTCTCTCCCCTCTCTCTCTGTCTCTCTCTCTCTGTGTGTGACTGGCTCGCCTGGAAAACAGCAGCCTTCTAAATCACACAACAGGCTGCTGCTCTCTTGTTTCATTGCATTTGCCAAGCTCCAGTAAACAGTGTTATAATGCTGTGTGTTGCGCAGCGCTGCCATCTCAGTTCTTTATAATCATCTCTGTAGCTTTTCATCCGTATCAGTAGGAATGTTGAATTTACTCCAGGTGCTGTTCATTTAGATATTTTACAGTTTAAAGATTGCAGAATTTTGCAACCCAATTTCACAGTATGTTGTATAACTGAATACATTAGCTTTATGCATCACAAACTGTATAAACTGATACAGATGCTGTCAGATGATGAAATTATACTGAAGCCTCTCTTTGTGGTTTCAGGGTATATTGAGGAGGCTTGCATCATCCCCTGTCCGTCTGACTGTAAGCTCAGTGAGTGGTCCAACTGGTCACGATGCAGCAAGTCTTGCGGCAGCGGGGTCAAAGTGCGTTCCAAGTGGCTGAGGGAGAAGCCTTACAACGGTGGTAGACCGTGCCCCAAACTCGACCACGTCAACCAGGTGAGTGGGGGACGTTCATCACTCTTGGCTCTGTGTAGAAACAACCCCTAGCCCCTACCCCCGTAGACACTTGTGGAGATCTGAGAAGATTGGACAGATTTTTACCATATTGCTTAAACCAATCAAATCTACTCAGATCTCCACAACTTAGTGTCTAGGGGGTAAAGAGTATGGGATAAGGGTTGTTTCTGGACAAGTCTTGACTCTCTGTTCTCACCTAGAACATGGTAGATGGTAGAGGTCCCTGGCTTGTTTTAATGTTTAATTCAAAGACTTATGATTTAATGAATTACATTAAAGGAACCAAAACAGTGTTTATTTTTTAATGAAGCCAGAGTGGACATCTTTCACTGTTTTATTCATTAGCCTAGTTAGAGCTTGTACTCGTGCCATGTTAAAGAAAGAGAAGGAACTGTGAACTCTATGAAACACAAGAAAACATGTTGTACTTCATTCTAATAATCCTGTATTTAAACACTCACTATCTGTTTGCCTGCTGTTCTTTTCTTCTTTTCCTGGGTGTATGAACTGACCCCCTCCACAGGCTCAGGTGAGTGACTTGTCACTTGCCTTTTATATAGGGCTGTCAAACGATTAAAACAGTTAATCCAGTTAATCGTAGGATTTGCTGTGATTCATCGCGATGCATCACAAATTAAAAATTTGCTCAAAGTGAGCTGTAATTAAATATTTTTTAATGACAAGAATATTGATGTCTTGATTTTGTCTAAAGTAACAGTTAGCAAAATTAGGTAAATTGAGAAAGCACACTTTCTTTAACCTCAATGTCAACTTGTTTTTACATGGCATTGTAGATTTGAGCTTTATAGATGATGTATTTTGGATATTTTCAATGCATTTTCAACTCTTTCAGACAATGCGATTAATCATAATTTCTGGAGTTACTATAGATGACTATAGATTACTATAGTGACAATAGATGGCTTACAGTCTAGTGGTCTCTCACAAGGTGTATGAGGTGGTGCCGTGTCTCAGTGACTGTGGTCAGTACGTGTGGGTGGCTGAACCCTGGAGTGTCTGGAAGGTCAGCAACGTGGACCTGAAGGAGAACTGTGGAGAAGGAGTGCAGACCAGAAAAGTCAGGTACGGACGATCAGCTATTATAGATACAACCTAACCTATTTCAGCTCCTAGTGGAGTGTAAGCCGGTCAGAATGTTGCAAGTTCTAGCAACAGCCCTAGCCACGGATGGGGCACTTCTTGGCAGGGGGACACAATTTGGCATGACAGGGCCTCAACAGTCTCTCCAACTAACCCTGTTCTGTGATGATTTCTTAACTTCATTAATTCAAGGTGATTTCTGCCTTCATCTCATCTTCATCTCCTCCACAACAGCCAAAGATAATTGTATCAATATTACTAACCTATTGTCCCCCTCTGTCCAGGTGTATGCAGAACACTATCGATGGGCCGTCGGACCCTGTGGAGGACTACCTGTGTGACCCAGAGGAGATGCCCCTAGGGGCCAGAGACAGCCAGCTGCCCTGCCCTGAGGACTGTGTCCTGTCTGACTGGGGGGTCTGGAGCCGCTGCTCACTGGTAAGGACAGATACTGACTACCTTGTTGTTTTATCATAATCTGTTGCTGACCACTGATATATACAGTTACCAACTACCTTATTGTTTTAGCAACTATTTTATCACTTTACAATATTTAAGATATTTTGTGTTTTCTGGGTTTGGTTGGGAGCAAAGAAATATCCATCTCAGTAGATGAACTGATGCAGTACTGTTCTAATGTATTCTATTCTAATTCTGTGGTGCTGAACACACACTGAAAGCAAGAGTACACTGCTTAAAGGGTTAACTCATAGCTGGAGAGCACAGAGGTCTTCTGCTTCTCACCATGGATCTCTGTCTCACACCTTAACATATAATAACTGGCCAATCATGCCAAGTGTCCACCCTCCATTTAACCTGTTTTGGCCATTTTCCCATGGTGAGAAATCCAATTCACAGCAGAGCTCTTGCCAGCAACTCTCACTTTGGATTCACCAATTCACCAATTTAATTCTCCAGCAAGGCTCGTACCCATTTAGGTGATGTCCATTTGGTATGTGTTTTGCTACTACTGGGCTCTCACCAATTTAGTATGATGTTCCAGCAAGGCTTGCACCAATTTAAGTGATGGCTATTCAGTATGTGTTATTCTCCGGTGGGCGAATAGTTGTGATTTATCCTGAGAAATTAAAGAAGGGAGAGAGGGTGGGATGACTTTGAACAGGGAAGATGATCTCATGCAGCTCTACATAGCATGCTGTGACCAAGGTCTGTGTAAAAGCAGATATTATAGGAAGGGGACCACCCTGTCACCCCATGTGTGTGTGTCTGTGTGTCTGTGTGTGCGTGTGTGCGTGCCTGTTTGTGCGTGTGTGCCTGTGGTGAACCTCTAGTGGGAAGAAGGGTCAACCGTGTCACAGTCCCTGCCATTCCCATTCCAAGGCACTCTGCCATGGATCCCTTGGGAAAGTTCATTACCATGGATATGGAATATGTCTCTGAATGAGCAGAGGAAGACAGCGCGCCAAATAGAGATGGTCTGACACCACCACCTGAATAGACCAGTTTATCTAGTAGGGGTTCTTTGGGGAAAATGGGCAGAGGTGGAAATAGACAAAAATATATTCATGGAAAAACCTTTTTCGATTTGCTGGTCGGAAAGTGGTAACTTCACTTTAACAGGGTTTCATATTTGGATTGCATTAAACGCCAAACTAAAAGTGGATTCCCTGACTTCTTGATTTTGGTCTAAGGCAGGTTACTGCAAAAGCACTTTGTGACAACGACTGATGTAGAAAGGGCTTTAAAAATGAATCTGATTGATTGATTGACTTCTTCTCTGGTTTAAGCCATGCAACAAAATCAGCACTCGGGAGAGGACGGCAAACCCCATCCGCCAACCTGGAGAGGGAAAGCTGTGCCCCAACACCACAGTGACAGAGCCCTGCAGCCTTAACAGCAACTGCTATCACTACTCCTATAACATCACTGGTAAGGCAAATGTCATCCTGGATTACTGCATGCAATGGATGATACCAGACCCGCATATCAATATTGAAATATGGCTCTGGATTGTAAATACAGTATTGAATGTGATCTTACCTCAAGTATATTTAGACCTCATGACATTTGAGATGAATGAAGTGCAATGGAGAGGAAAAGGCGTTGGGAGATAGGCCGTCTCTTTTTTTCCCCTCACGGTTTTATCCTTTTTTCTTTTTCCTTCATGTAGATTGGAGCACCTGTCAGCTGAGTGAGAGAGCTGTGTGTGGTAGTGGCATCAAGACACGCATGCTGGACTGTGTACGAAGCGACGGCAAGTCTGTCGACCTCAAGTTCTGTGAAGAGGTGTGTGTTCTTCTCTTTCCATTCCAAAGCTCATTAGTCATTAATAAGAGCAAATCTTCGGTCTTCAGAATTCAGACAGGTTGCTGTTTGTGTGTGTTTGTGTGTTGCCTAGGGGACTTGGGAACAGGGCAGAAGAATAATCTCTCGTTCGCCACAAATGGCCCAATAAAGTATTTTTCTTTTTGTTTTGTTTTCTCTTTCAGCTGGGTCTGGATAGGAAGTGGCAGATGAACACTTCCTGTGTAGTGGAGTGTCCCGTCAACTGCCAGCTATCTGATTGGTCACCTTGGTCCGAGTGCACACAAACCTGTGGACTAGCAGGTATGTCACCATCTTTTTGACCCACTCTTACCTGACTTTGTGAAAAAACATGATTCCATCTTTGAATGCTGGGAATGCGTTCAAGGCCAATTGAACCCAATTCTGAAGGGCAAGCAGCAACGAAGGACTAACAGAGAACTGATTAAGTGGTACATTCACCTATCTATTTCACCTATCTATTTTTCTGTAGATCCAAGCAGGCTACATTACAGCCCCTGCATATACTGTAAACAGCTAGAGTGAATTTGTAGGCATAGTGGATAGTCTGTGACTAGAAGTCAATTGACTATGTATCTATCCATCCAAGTATGTTATAGTCCACATTACAGCAAATCTATATTGTAATATAGGGTGTGGATTTGCAGGCATGGTGGGTAGTCTGTGAGTCATTCCTCATAGCGCTGCAGGTTCACAGTGCCGCTGATCAGCTCACAGCAGCACACACAGCTAAGAAACAGACAGAACCTCTCCTCTCCAGGGTAATGGCTGAAATGGGAAACGTTTTATGATGTGAGAGAGAAACGATTGTGAACCTTAAACCAACTGAGAGAGTGATGAGGGGGAGAGGGAGAGGGATGGGGGAGAGAAGGAGGGGGAGGGATGATGATGTCCTCGTGTGTAATTCTATAGGATCAGAGGATAGATTGGCGGTCCATTAAGCCTGTGTGCTCTGGGCCTGAGGGACCACTCCACCGCTCCAGGAGTCAGGAGTCCTTCAGAGCACTGGTCAGTGTCGTAGTTGGGCAGAGAGCAAATAGAGGCCGAGATATGAAACCAATACAGTTTGTAGCTACTGTGGTAGCCCTTAATCTGTCCCCAGGCAACGTGAGAATGTTCCACAGGAAAGAGGGATAGAGTAGCAGCAGGTGAACCACAGGAAGAGGAGAGGAAGAGAGGAAGAGAGGAATAGAACAGCTTCTCACACTCACTCCTTTTCATCCTGGAGTAGATTTTTTATCTCCATGTCAGATGGCAGGACACGGTTATGTTGAGTGGCTAATATATGTTCCTGAGCCAGGAATAGCAGAGGAAATGGAGACACCTGGAAGCACCAATGTGTCGTATCAATCAGTGCGATGTGAAAACACACACAAATGCACGCTCAGACACTCGTGCGCATGTGTGTTTTCACATCGCAATGATTTGAAAATATAAAAATACACTGACTCAAATAAACTCAGCAAAAAAAGAAACGTCCCTTTTTCAGGACCCTGTCTTTCAAAGATAATTCATAAAATTCCAAATAACTTCACAGATCTTCATTGTAAAGGGTTTAAACATTGTTTCCCATGCTTGTTAAATGAACCATAAACAATTAATGAACATGCACCTGTGGAACGGTCGTTAAGACACTAACAGCTTACAGATGGTTGTCACGTTCGTTCATGAACGGGTCAGACCAAGGCGCAGCGTGATATGCATACATGTTTATTTGACTATTAAACACAACGACAAAACAAGAAACGAAACGTGAAGTCCAAGGTACACAAACAACATACCTAACACGGAACAAGATCCCACAACCCACTAGTGCAAATAGACTGCCTAAGTATGGTCCCCAATCAGAGACAACGAGCGACAGCTGCCTCTGATTGGGAACCACACCGGCCAACATAGAAATACCCATACTAGAACCTATACAACATAGACAATGACAACATAGAAAATCACACCCTGACTCAACAATTAAGAGTCCCCAGAGTCAGGGCGTTACAGTACCCCCCCCCCCCCCCCCCCAAAGGTGCGGACTCCGACCACACAACCTTTACTTAACAGGGTAGGGGCCGGGTGGGCATTCCGCCTCGGAGGCGGATCCGGCTCCGGGCATGACCACCACCTATTCTCCGCCTCCCTGTTGTGCCCCTGGTCTGGTCTGGACCTCGGCGCGCTGCTTCCCCTCTCCTTCCTCCCACTATACTCCAAGCCCTGTCTGGACCCTGGTGTGGGAGACCCCGAACCTGGAGAGGGGCTGACGTCTGGGTCTGGACTGGAGCCGCTGACCGGAGCTGGACCGGGCACCGGTGGAGCGGACTACTCAGGCTCCGGACTGGAGCCGCTGACCGGAGCTGGACTGGGCACCGGTGGAGTGGACTGCTCTGGCTCCGGAGTGGAGCCGCTGACCGGATCTGGACTGGACCCCGGTGGAGCGGACTGCTCTGGCTCCAGAGTGGAGACGCTTACCGGAGCTGGATCAGGCACCGGTGGAGCGGACTGCTCTGGCTCCGGAGTGGAGCCGCTGACCGGAGCTGGACTGGACCCCGGTGGAGTGGACTACTCTGGCTCCGGAGTGGAGCCGCTGACCGGAGCTGGATCAGGCACCGGTGGAGCGGACTGCTCTGGCTCCGGACTGGAGCTGCTGACTGGTGCGGGACCAGGCACCGGTGGAACGGGCACGGGTCGTGCCGGACTGGACACACTCACCACTGGTCTGGTGCGAGGAGCAGGCACGGGCCGAACCGGACTAGGAACATGCACCACTGGCTTGGTGCGAGGAGCAGAAACAGGCCGGGCCGGGCTGGTGACGCGCACCACTAGCTTGGTGCGAGGGGCAGGAACAGACCGGACCGGGCTGGCGACGCGCACCACTGGCTTGGTGCGAGGGGCAGGAACTGGCCGGGCCGGGCTGGTGACGCGCACCACTAGCTTGGTGCGAGGGGCAGGAACAGACCGGACCGGGCTGGCGACGCGCACCACTGACTTGGTGCGAGGGGCAGGAACAGGCCGGGCTGGCGACGCGCACCACTGGCTTGGTGCGAGGGGCAGGAACAGGCCGGGCCGGACTGGCGACGCGCACCACTGACTTGGTGCGAGGGACAGGAACAGGCCGGGCAGGGCTGGCGACGCGCACCACTGGCTTGGTGCGAGGGGCAGGAACAGGCCGGGCCGGGCTTGCGTCGCGCACCACTGGCTTGGTGCGAGGGGCAGGAACAGGCCGGGCTGGTGACGCGCACCACTGGCTTGGTGCGAGGGACAGGAACAGGCCGGACCGGGATGGCGACGCGCACCACTGGCTTGGTGCGAGGGGCAGGAACAGACCGGGCCGGGCTAGCGACGCGCACCACTGGCTTGGTGCGAGGGTCAGGAACAGGCCGGGCCGGGCTGGCGACGCGCACCACTGGCTTGGTGCGAGGGGCAGGAACAGGCCGGGCTTGTGATGCGCACCACTGGCTTGGTGCGAGGGGCAGGAACAGGCCGGGCCGGGCTGGCGACGCACACCACTGGCTTGGTGCGAGGGGCAGGAACAGGCCGGGCCGGGCTTGCGACGCGCACCACTGGCTTGGTGCGAGGAGCAGGAACAGGCCGGGCCGGTTTGGCGACGCGCACCACTGGCTTGGTGCGAGGGACAGGAACAGGCCGGGCCGGGCTGGCGATGCGCACCACTGCCTTGGTGCGAGGGACAGGAACAGGCCGGACCGGGCTGGCGACGCGCACCACTGGCTTGGTGCGAGGGGCAGGAACAGACCGGGCTGGGCTGGCGACGCGCACCACTGGCTTGGTGCGAGGAGCAGGTACAGGCCGGGCCGGACTGGCGACTATTAACCCCCGCTCCTTCTGCTGCCTAACCAGCTCCTCTCGCCGTGCCTCTACACTTTCCTTCTCCCTTTTAGCCTCCTGTAGCGCCTCCCTCTGACCGAAACGCGTCGTCGTCGTCATCCTCCGACTCCTCAGTATAATACTGTTCCCACTCCTCTTCCCATGGTCGTGGGGACCCAAACTTGAAACCAACCGGGTGCAGTGGTCGGGGCTCTTCTCTCTCGCTCCCCGACCACCCCTTTAGCCCCCCCAAACGTTTTTATTGGGGCTGCTTCTCGGGCTTCCTCCTCAGCCGGCTTCCGTGTTGCCGCTGCTCCTCTCCTGCCTGGGCTTCCTTCTTCGCCCAGGGTCCTTTTCCCGCAAATATCTCCTCCCTTGACCACCATTTGCCCACCTGTGACATGGCTATTCACTCTTCCTGGGCACGCTGCTTGGTCCTCGTTTGGTGGGATCTTTTGTCACGACCGTTCATGAACGGGTCAGACCAAGGCGCAGCGTGATATGCATACATGTTTATTTGACTATTAAACACAATGACAAAACAAGAAACGAAACGTGAAGTCCAAGGTACACAAACAACATACCTAACACGGAACAAGATCCCACAACCCACTAGTGCCAATAGGCTGCCTAAGTATGGTCCCCAATCAGAGACAACGAGCGACAGCTGCCTCTGATTGGGAACCACACCGGCCAACATAGAAATACCCATACAAGAACCTATAACATAGAACAACACAACATAGAAAATCACACCCTGACTCAACAAGGGCGTGACAGTGGGGTAACATCTCACAGCAAGAACTGGTAAATCTGGTGCAGTCCATGAGGCGGAGATGCACTGCAGTACTTAATGGAGCTGGTGGCCACACCAGATACTGACTGTTACTTTTGATTTTGACCCCCCCTTTGTTCAGGGACACATTATTCAATTTCTGTTAGTCACATGTCTGTGGAACTTGTTCAGTTTATGTCTCAGTTGTTGAATGTTGTTATGTTCATACAAATATTTACACATGTTAAGTTTGCTGAAAATAAACGCAGTTAACAGTGAGAGGATGTTTCTTTTTTGCTGAGTTTACATTCAAATAGTAGGCTATTTCAAATCAAATCAAATCAAATCCAAATGTATTTGCCACATGCACCGAATACAGCAGGTGTAGACATTACAGTGAAATGATTACTTACAAGCCCTTAACCAACAATGCAGTAAAAAAAAAAAAAAAAAAGGAAAAAGGAAAAGTGTTAATTAAAGAAAAATATAAAATAAAAGCAAATAGCTAAAGAGCAGCAGTAAAATAAAAATAACAGTAGGGAGGCTATATACAGGGGGGTATCGGTACAGAGTCAATGTGCGGGGGCACCCACCGGCTAGTCGAGGTAATTGAGGTTATATGTACATGTGGGTAGAGTTAAAGGGAAATAATTTGAGAATACTTTCAAATACTTCCAACAGAAGTAGTTGATTCCAGCCAAATACTCAAATACACAGAAAATAACTATTTCATAACAAATACTCAAATACACATGTATTTTTAACCCAGGTCTGACACACACACACACACTAGTTTCCAGGGCATATCAGACCTGTGTGCATAGATAATCACAGCCACGTGTGTTCCTCGGCCAAACACTGATAGCGACAGCTGGCACTAGCTCTTCCCCCTTACCCAGCGGCCCACCCAGTCACACACTGCTCCTCACCCCCAAACTCACCGCTGCCAGCAGTTGACCACCCGTTGAGGGAGTAGAGAGACAGCACCGGAGAGCACAGAATCAAAATCCCATTGGAGAATAATAGTTACCATGGGTGCACGCAATAGCGTTCCGCCATTTGAGTGAACCACCGTTAAAACAAAGCACACATGAGAGAATCTCAAGAAAACCCTGACTGCTGATTAAAAAGAACTGGGAGTTTATTTATCTCATGGTTTGACAGGCATAAAACCCTTTGAAGGAAGGAGAGACCCTCTATGGGGGCAGCACATCCCTCTCTATGGGGGAACGCATCGTGGCATGCATCACAGTGGGTTCACCAGAAGATGAATTGGCAGCTGTGTGAGAGTAGAGACTAGCTGCAGGCTACGCCATGCCCGGGGGACTCTGTTCTAATTGTGTTCAACATTAAGGAGCAGTATAGGCCTCCCAGGCCCTGTGCGTGTGCAGTCAATCTTAGAGAAAATAACACTGACACATGGAGATAATATCAATTACATCTACGGTGGAAAGTGACACATTTATTACAATTGATATAGGAGTATGTAGGAGTACAGTAGATGACTGGTCACCCCTCTGAGCCTGGTTCCTCTCTAGTGGAGCTATAGGAGTATAGTAGAGGACTGGTCACCCCTCTGAGCCTGGTTCCTCTCTAGTGGAGCTATAGGAGTATAATAGAGGACTGGTCACCCCCCTGAGCCTGGTTCCTCTCTAGTGGAGCTATAGGAGTATAATGGAGGACTGGTCACCCCTCTGAGCCTGGTTCCTCTCTAGTGGAGCTATAGGAGTATAATAGAGGACTGGTCACCCCTCTGAGCCTGGTTCCTCTCTAGTGGAGCTATAGGAGTATAATGGAGGACTGGTCACCCCTCTGAGCCTGGTTCCTCTCTAGTGGAGCTATAGGAGTATAATGGAGGACTGGTCACCCCTCTGAGCCTGGTTCCTCTCTAGTGGAGCTATAGGAGTATAGTAGAGGACTGGTCACCCCTCTGAGCCTGGTTCCTCTCTAGTGGAGCTATAGGAGTATAATAGAGGACTGGTCACCCCTCTGAGCCTGGTTCCTCTCTAGTGGAGCTATAGGAGTATAATAGAGGACTGGTCACCCCCCTGAGCCTGGTTCCTCTCTAGTGGAGCTATAGGAGTATAATGGAGGACTGGTCACCCCTCTGAGCCTGGTTCCTCTCTAGTGGAGCTATAGGAGTATAATGGAGGACTGGTCACCCCTCTGAGCCTGGTTCCTCTCTAGTGGAGCTATAGGAGTATAATGGAGGACTGGTCACCCCCCTGAGCCTGGTTCCTCTCTAGTGGAGCTATAGGAGTATAATAGAGGACTGGTCACCCCTCTGAGCCTGGTTCCTCTCTAGCTTTCTTACAAGGTTCCTTTTTTTAGGGAGTTTTTCCTAGTCACTGTGCTTCTTCTTCTGCATTGCTTGTTCTTTCGGGTTTTCAGCTGGGTATCTGTAAAGCACTTTGTTACAACTCCTGGTGTAAAAAGGGCCTTATAAAATAACATTGAATTTGATTAATTGAGTTGAGTTAGGAGGGGAGTAATTGTGACTGTGAAGGAAATACATGGGATAATTAACCTTTAGGAGTTAAGTACCGGGTTAGAATGAATGGTCTTATAGGCAAGCACTGTGGATGGATGGTCCTAGGCTAGGGTTGTGGATGGATGGAGTTGGCCTTTAGGGTTGATAGATCAGATGGCAGAGACAATAATGTCTGATAGGATGTTGCAGCAAGTTACTATACTAGTAAGGGGAGTGTGATCCAAACTGGGTGGAGACTTTACTCTACTATGATTCTACTATAACCCTAACCCTATCAACAATGGAATCTGAATTGATAGCATAATATCTGTAAATTAGATTTTTTATCATTACATTTTCATAGTGCTCATAGTTTACAGGACCTAGTTTATTTTCTGTGGTGGTTTTTGAAGTGGTATGCATTACTGAGCGTGACTGTATTATATCAGTTTGGGATAGTTTCCCATGAGACACCAGCTAATTGACAGAGTTGTATCACATCTATCCCCGGGCCCCTCACTTAACATGCAGGGTGCATTTTGGGTAGGAGGAGCACTTCCTGTCCCCGTTACCCCTTCTCCTGACACCCCCCTGATATTACACAGTCTCTTTAAATTCCACTTTTAAACAATAGAATAATATGAATATTCAGAAAGGGGGGGAGAGACCTATTCCTGAGAAATTAAGTTACCTGAATGGTGTAATGTGATAGTGATCTTTTACAGTGAAGCCCCTCAAAGAGCCTCAGATCATTGTGATGGAACTGTATATGAGTCATATACATGAGTACATCTGGGGGTGTCTATGATTCTGTTATCATTAGACCCTTTTCTCTACTTAAATAGCTTAAAAGACACTCCCAATCTTTAATGACGTTACAAGGCTCTACTCAATCATGACTGGATGGGGACCACATATCTGGAATACATTTTTGATGTTGAGAAAATATAATTTTTTCCCAGCACAACAACAATGCATGTTTCATTGAAATGCAGTGGATTTTCTTTTTGTTTCAGCCACTATACATCGTTTTGTTGACTATCCAGAAAACCACATGACCTAATTTGATTTGGACAGGGCCTTGGACACTCGATCATCCACTTAAGAGACAGAAGTGTGAAATAGCACCTTTCTCTTTCCTCTCCAGGGAAGCTGTGGCGCAGGAGAACGGTGCTCCAGGTTCCCCAGGGTGATGGGAGACCCTGCCCCCTTCAGAGGGAACAGTGGAAGCCTTGCCCCGTCAGACCCTGCTACCAATGGAGATACAGCCCCTGGTCAGAGTGCAAGTCTGAGGTGAGACAGTGTTCTATCTCTCACTTCTTTCACTCTTTCACTCTCTCTTTCTCTCTCTCTCTCTCTCTCTCTCTCTCTCTCTCTCTCTCTCTCTCTCTCTCTCTCTCTCTCTCTCCTCTTTCCTTCTCTTTCACGATCTGTTTCGTGATCAGAGTGCAAATCACCCTGGTGTTCCCTCTCTCTCTTTCTTTCTCTCTCCTCTCTCTTTCTCTCTCTTTCTCTCTTTTCTCCGCTTTCACAAACACTTTATATTTTGACTCTGTGTCTCTGTCTCTGTCTGTGTCTCTTTCTCTGCCTGTGCCTTTTTCTCTGTCTGTGCCTCTTCCTCTGTCTGTGTCTCTTTCTCTTTGTCTGTGTCTCTTTCTCTGTCTGTGTCTCTTTCTCTGTCTTTGTCTCTTTCTCTTTCTGTGCCTCTTTCTCTGTCTGTGCCTCTTCCTCTGTCTGTGTCTCTTTCTCTTTGTCTGTGTCTCTTTCTCTGTCTGTGTCTCTTTCTCTGTCTTTGCCTCTTTCTCTGTTTGTACCTCTTTCTCTGTCTGTGCCTCTTTCTCTGTCTGTGTCTCTTTCTCTGTCTGTGCCTCTTTCTCTGTCTGTGTCTCTTTCTCTGTCTGTGTCTCTTTCTCTGTCTGTGTCTCTTTCTCTGTCTGTGTCTCTTTCTCTGTCTTTGTCTCTTGTCTGTCTGTGTCTCTTTCTCTGTCTGTGTCTCTTTCTCTGTCTGTGCCTCTTTCTCTGGCTGTGCCTCTTTCTCTGTCTGGGTCTCTTTCTCTTTCTCTGTCTGTGTCTCTTTCTCTTTCTCTGTCTGTTTTGGGTCCTCCTTTCTCTGTCTGTTGCCTCTTTCTCCTGTCTTGTGCCTCTTTCTCTGTCCTGGTCCCTCTTTCTCTGTCTGTCTGTGCTCTCTTTCTTTTTCGTCTGTGCCTTTTTCTTTCTCCTTTCGTGCCTCTGTGTCTTTCT